CCTTTGAACTTACATTTTGCAAAAATAGAGCAAATCTTTGTTTAATGTAAATGTTTTTGGAAATACCAGTTCGATACATTCTACAATTAGTTTTCATTTAAACACAGTTGGACTCTGCTATGGCAATTTTCATGTTCTGTCAATTTTGTTAAAATATGACTCTGCCAGGATCAGCTGTAGATTAGCGTTCAGTTTACTCACAGAGAAGGAAATAGTTAAGGTGAGGCTCAGGAAAAAGGATGCAGAATTCCTTGTTGAAAGACTATTACCTACAGTTGACCAGTGTTTCCTCATAAAAAGCAGAAGAACCTTCTGGCAGGTCTTGGGGACAGACAGGACTCACCTGACTGTGATAATAACCGGGCACTCCTAGTTTGCAGGCCTCCACGTTGAGCGGTTCTTTAAGATTGTTCATAACGCAGCACTGACGAGGCCAGGGATAGTCGGCATCACTATTCTCAGCCCGGAAGGCAGATGTATATTTTTGCCAGTCTGACGGACCATTTACACCACAGCAATTGTCCTGTCCATGGATGAAAGACACAAAATTCTCTTTCATGGTCTTTGCTAGAATCATCAATGTAGCAACTGAGATTTTACAGAGAAGGCATATATGGAAAATGTACCATATCTTAAGTTTTCTAAAAATCCTAAAATTAGGGATGGTGGTATTAATACACTTACATTTTAGAGCTTGCAAAACACTTTTCACATTTATTACTTTAATAGCAAATAATAAGCTGTGTAGCCTTTGACAAGTTAACTTAAACCCTCTAAGACTCAGTTTCCTTAACTATAAAATTGAGGTGTATATAGTATCTACCTCATACAGTTGTTGAGAGGATTAAATGTGTTAATATACTTAAAGTGTTTAGTACAGTGCCTGGCCCATAGGTAACCCTTAATAAAGGTTTATTATTATTATTACTAATATACAACAGTGTGAGACATGTATAATTATTCTAATATTATATGTGAGCAAATTGAGAATCAGAAAATTAAATAAAAAATTTTAGTGGTGATGGAACTATGAGTCATTCTTCTCATTTTATTTTGTTTTGTATTTTTAACATCCATAGAGTAATTATGTACTACTTTTATAATGTGAGAAATAAGCTGGGAAAAATAACCAAAACCAAGTGACTCACCCATTGGCATGTAACTATGCTTTTGCATAGGAAAAGAAGATAAATTAACATGTAGCTAATAACCT